GCCCCTGTGCCCACCACCATGCCTTACAGTCAGCCAATTATGGCCTGAAACATCCACAAACAGTGAGCTAAATAAACTGTTTCTTCCTCAATTTTGGTGCGGGATATTTTGTCCCAGCGAGAGAAAAGTAACCAAGACATCACCTAAACATAATGTAATATCATCTAACTATACAATATTATATAGCAGTGAAAACGAAGGAACCAGCACTACATCTCAACATGCATAAATCCAAAGCCACAAAAAATCAAAAAGAGCAGCCATATAACGTGATGGCATGAACCCGTTTGAGAAAGCTTGGAAACGGGAAAATAGCAGCAAAGTTAATCACAGATTTGCATGCAGTGACATGGAAGCATGCAGGGAAAGGACAGGAGCACCCAGGAGAGTGAGAGGTGACAGGAAGGGATGACGGTGAGGCAGGGTACTGAGGGCATCGAAGTGCTGTGACAGGTCTCCGCTCTGAAATCAGAGTCAAACACAGCGTAGTTAGGAACCGCTGGAGCTGGTCTATGCCCACATGTGGCTTATCTGCTCTCCTCTGACTTTCCCATAGATTGCAATGTTTTATAATCTGAAAAAAAATTAATTCCTTTTAAAGCTACACCCTGAACTTGGAAGCAATCTAAAACCTGAGTGCACCTTGAAAGCAACTTTTAATAAAATTACGGGAAAAACGAAACAGACTAAACCCTCTAATCATCGCTACCCACAGTGCCTGCCGCACCTCCCCCTCCTGCATCCCCCACCCCCGGGCAACAGGAAAGCAGATTAATCCTGAAATCCAGTGCACCACTTCGCTCAGGGGAGAGAAACACCAATCAAACTCACAAAGGAGAAGCAAGCAAGCACAATTTGCATGAGTTTATATCTGAAGGTCCAGCTGCCTTTGTCAGACAAGAAATGACAATGCACGCACCTCAGTATCACAGGAAAGGGGGACAAGAAGGCTTGAGCAAAACACAGACGCTAGTCTGGGAGAAAACGGTGCCCAAAAGCGCATTAAAAGCATTCACAGTAAACAATTCATGCCACAGGAATTAGGACAAAATCAGCAGAACAAGAAGGCACGCGTGGAGTGACACAGAGATGGAATGAGAACCTAACACCTCTCCTCCTCGATGAATAAGTAAAACAGGCAGAACAGGCCAGGTGCTGAGTTTAAATAGTAACACTGCAGAATGACGGCTCGGATAATTACAGAGACTGGAGGTGATGGGAAAACAAACCCAAACCGAGACAGAGACAACATGTTGATCATCTTGTTCCAAAGGTGCTGTGGAATATGAGATCCCAGGAGTGCAGAGTCATCTGGAGCGTCAACATGACAGCCAGGCCACACTGAGCCAGGCCACAGCACTGCCTGGTAACGGAGGCTGCATCACAGCGTGGCGGGCAGCAGCTGGGCAAGTGGGGTTATCTGCACACTGTGTTTAACTTTTCTGGACAAGTAGATGAGAACCCTCAGTGGTTTAGGATTCAGGCTGGCGATTTAGGATTCAGGCTAGGATTCACAGCTTTCTGGTGATGACTTTTAAAACCCAGTTTTTACTCTGCTCTGGAGAACGTTAGGCGAACTAAATCAGACACACCAGCTTAAATACTGTACCGCTTCTCTTATAGGAGAAACCCAATGTGTGAATAAAGTACAAAATAAAAGACAACACCGAGAAGGGAAGGGCATTGAGAGACGGAGGGGGGGGGCACGACACATAAAAAGAAAGGAGATGCATTACACACACAGAGAGACTCCCCGCCATGGACGTGATCACCCTTAACTGCAAACCTGGACTAATCAATATTAATCTTTTTTAAAGTTACTTTTTGAAGTTCAATAAAGCTAACTTTCCCCCTTATTTCCGTGCCTCATTCTTTGATCTAAAACAATACTGTCCAACATAGTACAGCAAGTAATAATAACAGCAAAGCAACCGTCTCTTAGGAAGCCTTGACATCTCTCCCCGCACTTCACATCCAGGGGACCAGTTCAGCCTTCTCCCCGCCTGTGAAACAAACACAGTTTTTACCTCTGCTTTCAGTGGAGGGAGCAGAGGCATAGAGAAGTGAAGCAACTTGAGGTCACAAAACAAGAGTTTGGCAGAACTGTAACCTGCCCCTAGCTCTTTATCGCTCTGTGAATATTTAGGAACTGGGGAAATTAATGACCAGCTACTTCACTCACCCAACTCGGTCCCAGCTCAGGCCAGGAGAGAGGGTCCTGGGAGGGTTTCAGGGGCTCCAGCTCCTCCTGCCTGGTCAAGGAGCTCTCTATCTTCCATTGAGGATGTGAGATGATCTTCAAAATCAGATATAAAAATTCTGGTTAAGCCAGGCATGGTGGCACACACTTGTAATCCTGGCATTCTGGAGGCTGGGGCAGGAGGATCCCAGGTGTACAGCCTGGGCAATTTAATGACACTGTGAGACCCAGTCTCAAACTGAAAAATGTAAAAGGGGCTGGGTGTAGCTCAATGCAAAGGTTCTGGGTTCGATTCCACATACTGCCACACACAAAAAATTGATCCATCTACCCATGAGTCTCACTGCATGATACCCTTGTCTCGTCTTAGTTTTCAAATAATTGCCAGATGATTTTTCAAAATCTCTCTTAGCCTCCCTTCACTCAGTGTCTTCAGATGTGGGCTCAGCCAACTCCTTTCCTCCACAGAAAGAAAAGCATTGTCCAAACCGCAGGAGACCACCCCAAAGCCTAGGGGAACACCATCCTTAGCCCCGGGCACTCAAGGAGACAAGGGCCAGAAGGAGGCGCACGCCTAGTAGAAATCTGACCAGAAGCCCTGTTAAAAGGACCAGCACTCATTCACAGGAGGCACGGGGAGCTGCCCAGGGTGCCAGCACCCGAGGCCAACTCCTTGACCAGGCAGGAGGAGCTGGAGCCCCTGAAACCCTCCCAGGACCCTCTGCGCTGGCCTGAGCTGGAACTGTCCAGTGCCTCTGGTCACGGAGAGGGACTCAGTGAGGAGCCCTGTGCTCAGAGTCCCAATGCATGAGGACCATTGAAATAGCTTGGCATATCTTGTACCCTGTATTTGACCCAGAAGAGTGAAAAATTACTTAAGAGTACAAGTCCCATGAGCAAAGCAGAATGAGCTGTGCCCACAGAGAAAAATTAACCTGCTCAACGCAGAAGCAGGATACAGGCGTCAACCAAAATTAATGTAAGATTCTAGCTAAATCGTTTCCAACAGGATGTCTTTTTGTGGTTTTCTGTTTTAAAATCTCTGTCACTTTCCAGTTCAGCCCCACTTCTTTGGACTCTGAAACAGAGGTCTATGGGGGGGGGGGGTGTCTCTGAGCTCAGCTGATAAAATTCAAAATTTATCAATTTGGCTGCTTCGATTCCTACATTGTTTAGGAACCCACTTCAGCCATATCCCACACGGGGACTCGGGCATGCAGTGATGCAGAACCCACAGCACCCAGCAGCCAAGGGGGTCCTCACATGCTCAAGAGCACCTACCCAGAAACCCAGCCAAACAACGGGTGCCGCATCCAGAACCCTCACTGCAACGCCACTGCCTGTGTCAGGTGTTTGAGTAGAGAGCATGGGGCGGGGAGCACGGACATACTGAGACCCTCCAGGAGTGAACCTTAAGGGCCTCGCTTTGGGCTCCTCCCTGAACATCAAATGGTGCTGATCTTTTTCATTCACCTTATGGAGAAAACTTTGTTTGATGAATTGACAGGAAAAGAATTGACAGAAAACAGGACTGAGTCCACACGCAAGTCAGTCCTTAAAAGAAAGATGCCAAATCCTCTTTTTCTTTGAAATGGAGTTTGCATCCTGCAGGCATCTGCTTTAAAGAAGAAATGCTCCTGTCCAACCCGGAGGCAGGATATCAAATCCAGGTCCTCACACATGCTAGGCAAATGATACACCACTGGGCAAACTGCCCCCCAGCCCAAGACTACATAATTTAACTGAAATACTCTGTTACCTAAAGCAGTGATGGCAAACCTTTTAGAGCTTTCAATGATACAAACAGCCCGCTGCAGCATGAGTGCCATAGATTCCTCACCACTGCGTATACCGATGGAGCCAACCAGCCTGCATGTTCCACAGCAGTGAAACACACCAAACACACAGGGGAGAGAGATGCCACCACTCAGGCCCTGTCCTTAAATTCTCTGCCTGCATCTCTCCCGCCCAGGACAAGAAAGGGGAGGGGAAGTTTAACATGAATATGGTTTAAAGGTTGCTGCATGCAAAGATATCTTTAAAGCTTGGCACCCTAGTCTGAAGGAAGGGTAAAAAAATAGTTTTACTCAGTTTTCTATTATTTGGAAGCCAAATGTACGCACTGAAAGTTAGAAATCTAAGCAAAAAGTGACACAAACACAGGACAGGAGAAAGTCATCGGAATACAAACGCTTTCTGCACATAGTATGTATATGAGACCAAAGCGTGTGTGTGTGTGTGTGTGTGTGTGTTTGTACACTGATACTGTAAAAATTAATTAGTTAATTAGTTAATAATAATGCTGATGGCCAGGTTAAGACACCTTGCCTAGGAGCCTCCTTTCTGGTGCTGGTCCCACACAGGCTGCTGCCCCTGGTCAGTGGGGGTCGGGTTGCCCCCTCGCAGCCCATCCCCTACACTCCCCAGGAGTGGCCCGCCCGCGGGGTCTCCAAGTGGCATTTCTTTTTAAGATCTGGTTATTCCTCTGAACCGAATCACGTCCCCACCAGATGTCTATTCCTGACGCTCGCACTGCCCACCCAAGAACACTCTTCCTCCCCTGTACGCGAGGGGAGCGAGACTTTATCCACGGACGCGCGGCTGCACCCAGTTCGATGACCCCGTGACCATCTTCTCCACTGACCCAAGAAGAAAGGGCGCGGGGCAGCGAGCCTGCAGGGCAGGGGGGAGGGTCCCGACGGGCCGCCGTCACCTGCTGCGCTCCGGCCGCCGCCGCAGCGCCCGCACTGGGCCCCGCACCCTCCCCGCTGCCCTCGCCCCCGCGGGCCCTTACCGCGTGCGCATCCTGCGGGCCGCCGCGTGCCGGGGCTCAGAGCCGCATCCCGGCCGCCGGCCGCAGCGGAGGGCGCGCCCCGAGCTCTCCGGTTGGTCCAGGCCCCGCCGGCTGGGTCCCGGGTCCGCGCTGCGCCGCTCGGGGTGGGCGGAGCGCGGCGATGCGCACGGGGAAGCTGATAGGTGAGGAGCGGGGCGGGGGCGGCGGGGGCGCGGCGGGGGCGGGGGCCGCAATCCCGGGAGGCCCGGCGCTTCCGGAGGTGCCGAGAGCCGCAGCCCGCACCGCCCGGGGAACGGTCTATCCCGGCCAGCGGCTGGAGCGCATCCTTCCTGGGCACTCACCGGGCACGCTGGGCGGGGGAGCCTGCGCAGATGCCCTGGGCCGGGCCGGGCCGGGCCGGGGAGCCGCTGCCCTGCAGGGGACAGAAGTTAACTTTGAAACCACCCGCGCCGCGCACGGAAGGGAGGGGACCGGAGGCCTTCTCCAAAGGCGCTGCGGCCCCCTGGCCTCTTTGCAGGGGGTCAAGGTCAGTTAGGCCTCTGGCACCCCCCCTGGCCGAACGCGGAATGAAGTGGGCACGGTTCTCTCCTTTTACAAAGGGGGAAACTGAGGGCCAGAGCAATTCTCCTGAACACAGCCTCAGGGTGAGGGCGGATCGAATAAAACAAGCCCACAGGCGTGGACAGTGGCAGGCGTGCCCACAGGACCCCACCTTTCTCTGGCAGGAAAAAATCATATAGGCGCATACCTTCGTGTGCCTGCATTTGCGTGCGTGCTTTTTAAGAGCTGGAGATTAATTATCCAATCCTTGGGAGGCCAATCCAGGTCGCACAGTGAAAAACCTTGGAGAGCTCTGAAAATCCCCGGTGCTCTGGCCGCTGCCCCAAGCACGGGGCCCCTGACTCACATTCTAGAAGCCTTCGTTTTCCACAGCCTCAGAATAGTGCTGGCCCTCCCCTCCCCGCCGGAACTGTGGTCTTTTCTGCAGAGATGAAGCGAACTGGGGGAGGGGGAGAGTCCAGAGACGCTGCAGGACCAGTTTGGGGAAAGGAGGGGCCCCCGGAAAGCGAAAGCGGGAGCTGTGGATTGGGGGCAGAGGGAGCTGCGGAGCGTCTGCCAAGAGGAACACGGCGTGATCACAGCGGGATTATTAAAACTCCCACTCAGTCTCCTGGGGGAACCGAGCAGGCCTGGCGCACTCGAGGCACGCAGAGGCAGTTAGGATGCAGGGTGAAGGAGATGCAGCTGCTGCCTGGCACAGCCCCTGTGCCGCTTTGAATCCCAGGCCTCCCTGGCCTTCTCCCACAAACCCATGCCAGCCACTGTCACCTCACCGCAGCAGGTGACCCAGCCTCAGACAGCTGAGGGACTGTGACTCAGGTGGATGGAGGAGCAGGACCGCTGAAAGGCTCGGGAGGCCGAGTCTGCAGACAGCAGGGCCTCAGGGGGACGCAGGTCTGGAGAGATAAGGGCCTTGCACAGGGACAGGGTTGGAGCTGAGCTGGTCAGGAAGAGGGGAGGAGAAAGCATGCAGACCAAGCTAGGCGCAGAGGGGAGGGCGGGCAGGTCCATGCAAGCACACAGACTGCTGTGGCCTCATAGCAAGTGAAGCATCCTGACCCAGGGCTCATGTACCAAGATTCTGAAATTGATCTTGGCCAGACAGTAAGGGAGGCTGCTCCGTCCTTGCAGTTCAGGCCCGTTCCATGTGTCACTGGCCCTGTGCAGAGCCCTGTGCAGGCCAAGCCACGCTGCACCCCAGGGTTTCGGACTCCCTGCACCAGCTGTCCCCTGATCCGGACCACCTGCCACAGTGGGCGGGGAACCCCGTCCTGCACCTGGTAGAGAGTGAGCAGCAGCCCATCCCTGCACACTCAACGCCAGGCACACACAGCCTGTGACAAAACTGTGCTCAGATTTGTTGGGTGTCCTGAGGGGCGGGGAATCATTCCCGAAGACAGCTCCTGTGGCAGTAGAAAGGATGGGGCCCAGGGCTCCCACAGATAGCACAGGAAACCCCATTCACGTTTGCTGTGGGAACAGGGCCGTCCCACAGGACAAGCCCCAGTCACAACCTTTACTCTCACCCCCAGGTCACACTGACTCCTGCACTGCTGGCCCTGGACCCACTCACCCCTATCTCGGAGCCCCAGCGCTCACCTTCGAAGTGCAGGGATTTGTGGCTCTGCCTCTGTCTCCCCCTAGATCTCCCACAGATGCACCGCCACTTTCCAGACACATGACTGTCACACACTCCCACACCTCGTCACTCTCCTCCCTCTGCTGTGGTTGGGATGTGAGCTGAGTGCCTCCCAAGGGCTCCTGGGTGCCCAGTATAATGGTCTTCAGAGGAGATGGGACCTTAAGTGGAGGTGCTCAGTGCAAGGGGATTAGGTCAGGGGTGATGTGGTTTCCATGGAGCGCAGGTTCTTCTGAGCCTGCTGTTATAAAAGCAAAATGGCCCTGCTCCTCTGCACTCTGGATTCCTGGATTCCATGAGATCTGTCACCCATGCATTGCCACCATGACACCATACACCACTAGGTGTGACGCAGCTGGGGAGGGACCCTCAGCCAAGATGAAACTGATGATATCACCCTATCTGGGGCTTTAGTTCCAAACCTAGGAGCTATATAAACCTCTCTTCGTTATAAAGCACCCAGCCTCAGGTGTTTTGTTAAAGCAATGGAAAACAGTTGAATACATCCTTTATCCTACTTGTTCAGTACTGCTGCTTAACTTAGGGTTGGACCCTATTTCTCTGTGCTGTCTTCTGTCTCAGATGAGACTCGGGGTGCTCATCCCAGAACAGGCCTTAGCCTGGTACTTTGTTAGGATTTATATCTGGATGTCCCTGAAGCCTCCTATGTTCATGGAGAGGGGCTTTGGGGGAGGTGACTGATTTATGGGGTAAATGGCTGACTTGCCACTTGGAGGTAGGGGTCTGGTTGGAAGGGGTAGGTCATTGGGAGTATCCTGGTTACTTTTTTCATTGCTAAGACAAAATACCCAATGCCCAAAATGAAGAAAGAAAGGGTTTATTTAGCTCACAGTTTGTGGAGGTTTCAGTCCATAATAAGCTGGCTCCATTGCACAGTGGTGCGGCAAGTGAGACAGTAGTTCAGGGCGGCAGGAGATATAAAAGCCACAAGAGCAAAATGGGGAGAGCAAGGCTCTTTTCCTCCCTTACACTGCACGCAGGCTCCCCTTCCTAGGGCGGTGCAGTACTCACACCCCCAAGCCCAGCGCTAGACAGTGAACCAATCACCAACTCTAGACTTGGCAGCCTGTGAAAATCCCACCCATGAGGCACTGGGGGGACATCCAGACACAAACCATGACAGACGTGTGGCCTGGAAAGGTTCTCACTCCCTCCCCTCCCCGCATTTCCTCCCTTGACTGTCCCTGCTTCCTGCTCCCCATGCCATGCAGCTTTTCCTCTGCTGTGCTGTCCTGCCTTAGAGCCAGCTGACTGTGGCCTGAAATGTGAGCCAAGGTAAAACCTCTCCTCCCTTAAGTTGTGGGTGTCAGGTGTTTTGTTCCAGCAATAAGAAAAGTGAACGAGACTCACATGAGCACAGAGCAATACCCATGGGGTCAGTGGATGAGGGAAAGGCCATCTGGTGTCCACTCCATGTGGGGCTACTGCAGGAACTGAGGAAGCAGGGCTCTATGCATAGCATGGGAAGCACCAGCCTGTCTGATTCCAGAACCTGGCTGGAGCCGGCTTCTTGGCTAGGACACTCCCAGGGACACTTGTACAAATTTAGAGAAGGATCTGAGGTTCTGTGAAGCTGGAAAATGGTTTTGCTGGGAAGCCACTACCCTGCAGGCGGCCACTGCACCGTTTCTGCTTCTGGTCCTGTGAAGGACCTAATAAATCCTTGCATATTCCTATACATACTGTATATTGGTTCTGTTCATCCAGAGAACCCTAAACAGGAGGAAGGTTGATCGCTGTAAAGATGGCTTAGTTGGTGGCAGTTTGGTAAAGAGAACTTTAGGTGCCCTCTCTTCCTGCATACAAATAAGAACACTTTCCTTGGGCCCTTTCTTTTTTTCCAGAGAAGAAAATACAACCTCCAGTTCTTGGAAAGACAGCGTGGCTGTCCCTCTGTCTGTTGCTAGTGGAACTGAAGTGAGGCATGCTGCATGCAGCTAGCAAGCCCTGAGGAGACTAAACTTGAGTCTGGTTATCATCCTGGTCCCACAGGGGCTGTACCAACTCCCAACACTGGCTGGGGCGGGAGTAGAATGTGCAATTTGAAGATACCGGATCAGTTGTGGTGGGTATTTTTTTAAAAAGAAATCCAGCAGCACTTACACATCAGTCATACTTCCTTGTCATGTTGAGAAAAAGCATCCTCATCTCGCCACTGCCTTCAGATCATTGGTAAACTCTTTTTCTAGAGTTCCCAGCACTCTTGCCAGAGAAGCTGCTTACCTGGCACTGAAGGGTCTTTTGCAGCACTGACATCAGATTCACAATCATCTACAGTGCAGATTCCCAGGTATCCGGAGCTCTGCAAGCTGCTGGGGAACAGAGCCCTGACAAAGGGCTGAGTTTTGAAGCTGTCTGCGTAGAGCGTGCACAGAGAGGTCTTCTCCCGCAGTGGTGCACAGCAGCCCAAGAGACCTGCTGGGTGCAGGACCAGAATGAAACTGGCAGCAGAAGTTTACGTAGCAGGATGGGACGCCGGCGAGGGCAGCTGATTCTAACTGAGGGCGCAACATGACCCACTCTTTTCTCTCTTCTTGAAAGTTAGAAGCTTCTGTTGTCGAACACATCATGGATGGACCTCCAATACCTGGAAACAAACTAGGTCCATGCAGTTCTGTGGAAGTTCTCTTCCCACCCAGCTGCAGAGAAAGCGTCTTGCAGCCCAGTCCTCGGTCCGCGTCTCTGGATCAGAGGAGGGGAGGTTCCCTGCCTTTCTAACCATCCATGCTGCAAAACAGGGGCCCCACACAAAACACAAAGAGGAAATGAAGAAAGCCAAAGCATAGCCACTTCCAAGGCTCGGTCCTGAGCGGTGCGTCTCCTACAGTCACCACCAGCTGACCGCGTGGAGATGGGATGGATGTGCAGAGAGTGGAGATGTGTACGTAACATATCTTACTGCTTTTCCTGGGTCCCCTCCCATTCCCAAAGGACCCGCCTCCCTGTTTCCTATTGTCTGTCTTTTATTTTGCTCTTTTATTTGTATTTTGGGTCTGTCACATAAAAGAAACCGTGTGGTACTTCAGCATGGGCGTCTGATTGATGCCACTTAGCATTACAGTCTACAGGTGTAGCCATTTGCCTACAGATGGCTCCAGTTTGTATCCCTATGGCAGAGTGGCACTCCGTGGTGTATAAACACTGCATTTTCTTTGTCCTTTCATCTGTCGAGGTCATATAGGCTTCTACCAAGACTCAGCTATCACGAGTTGTCTGATCACTTAGCACATCCTCGTCTTCAGCCTTCTGATAACCCCAGCAGACGAAGTGAGCTGGAGATGTGATTATTTTAGAGAGGAAATTGAGCCCCACAGGTACTAGAATTTCTGTGTTCTCTTGTCACTTCTGTGGCCCAATGGAGGGAACGAGAGAGGTGTGTGGTCCACAGCCCACACAGTCCCCCTGCACGTGGCAGTGCTGGCCACTTGGGTGGCCCAGGAGCAGTACCACAGGGGTGGGGGCGAGGCAAGACCCCAGCCTCCAGACTCCCCTACATTTTTGATCCCCCAAAATTAATACAAATTATAGCAACGTTGGATGAGCACCTGAGTAACATCTTGATGTGAACTTTCTACTTTTGTATTATTGATTTAACTGAGCGAAGCCTGGGCAGAGAGAATTAATGAGAGCAGCTTAGGAAATGCATTTTTTAGAAGCATAAATTTGTTTTCATTATGGTGATGACGATGCTGAAAGCGCTATGCCAGCCTTTTTTTTCAATACCGAAGACTGAAACACAGGGCCCTTACACAGAGCCACACTCCCACCCCTTTCTATTCTTTATTTGGGGACAGGATCTCACTAAGTCACCACATTGCCCAGGTTGGGCTTGAACTTCCAGTCTTCCTGCAGCTCGTTATTCTAAGCGGGCGGTGTTCATTGCCACATTCTTTTCATTATGGTTTGTGAGGTGGGCCCTCTTTATACCCCACAGAAAAGGGAGTCTCGGGGAGGTCAAATAATTGGCCCCATGAAATAATATCTTGAGGAAAAGGAAAAACAAAGATACAGTGAGTGTGCTACTTTGTTCACCCCGCTAAGTCCTCCCTGGCTTTTTATGTAAATGTTACAAACCTAAAACCCACAGGGAAGGAAGGGAGCGGGGTGTGGAATATCCTTTGCTGTATCCAGCAGGGAACCGAGGTGCTGATGCTTAGCTTAGATTTATTTCAGAGAAGGAAACCCCTACGGTCATAATTAGCTACTGAGCTGGAAGCCTGGCAAGATGCCTTTTTTTAAAAGAGAGAGGTAAAGAACTAATCACCGGGCTTTCATTTAAGACAAGGCATCAAGAAATAGGGTGAAAAGCAGTAAGAAAAATTAACCAGACACCAAGTAAAAATGGAAGAAGGAAGATCAGTGCACAAAAAAATGTCAGGTCTTTTCTGCAAGGCTGGGAAAACCCTCAATTCCCTTTCTTACACCTCTGAAACTCTCTTCCTCTTTTAGGGACTCACAATATGGCTTTTAAAGGTTTGCGTGGCTTGTTTAAACAGGGGCAGCACTTACAAAAGTCTGTCCCCTGGATTTTAGAAATGTGTTTCACAAAAGACACAAATCAGCATCCAGGGTCTCGTGCGCTGATGCTGGCAAGACCCCGCCTGGACAGCTTGTTAGCTCAGGCCTTCGCAGAGCCTTCAGGACAAACGTGAGGGGAGCTTCCCAAACTCGCCTGACACTGAGACCCATTCCTCAAAGAACACACTGTGCGAGTAAGGTTGTGAGAACCCCACTTTGGGTCACAGTGCTCTAAAATAAAACACAGAGCAGGGGCCACTCTGGCTGGGGAGAAGCAGGGAGGAGGAAACGCCCCAAGCCATCGGCTGATTTGGAGGAACACTGGGCTACAATGACAACAACTGAAGTGAAGAACCGACCTCAGGCTTGCACTGTTCGGTGGACCTTGCAAGCCTACAGCGGGTGTCTGAGCAACCATTGAGAGGACAACAGTGATCACTTTGACAACAATGATCAATGACTATGATGGAGGTCCCCTGTTTTACTTTTGAAATCCAATATCAGGTTCTCACTGTTTTGTTTTGTTTTATTACTCTGTTCTATTCCCCATATAAAATAAAATAAAATACTGTGGTATTTCAGTTCGCAGACTTATACCCCCCCCCCCCGTACACCTCTGGTCCCAGCTGGATCCAGCAATCCATGCCATTCAGGTGAAGGACAAAACAATAGTGTTAGACTAGAGCTCTGTGTGCTCTAGAAGGAGAACTTGCACTCTTGTGTTTAGACAGCTGTCACTCTGCAGTCCAGGCTGGCTTAGCCTTACTGTGTAAACTGGGCTGGCTTTGAATTTATGGCAATCCTCCTGCCTCAGCCTCCTGAGTGCTGGGATGACAGGCATGCGTCACCATGCCTGGCTCTTCATTCTGACTCTGGTGATGATCCCCACTGGGGAGCTGGCCTTTTTGTTCATCCGACTACTTGGATCAGGCTGTGGTCACAGAGGAGGGCTCTGGGAATGATTTGGTCCTCTGAATTATTAGTTCCTGTTTATCTGCCGAGAATCAGCAGGATTGTACAATGAATATCACAACAGGGCCTCCTTTTGGGGACTTCATATGAACAACTCGTAACTCCTTCGAGGATCCACATTCCACTCCAGAACCAGCACCAGGATATCTCCACTGCCCTACTGATGGCACTGGTGCTGGTCAGTGGAGGACTTCCTCAGGTGAGGAAGTCCTGGGTCCTGCAGGTGAAGAAGAGCTCTAGGAATGAGCTGAACCCCTGGACGTCAATCAGTGAAGTCAGAAAACCTGGGGAACTGGGGACGGCAGAAGCTTGTGGGGCACACTCTCATGGACAGAGGGGGAAAGCACTGCCCCTAGATCTCAGGGTAGGCACAGTCACCAGCACTGTGCACACCCGAGGCTTTCGTCTGGGGAGAACGACCATGAAAGGACACATCACTGATCTCACAGCACAAGAGAACAGTGCATGTACTGAAGGCCTGCATTTTCACACCTTCCAATGATGCTATGAGGCTGTAAATTTCATGACATCTGTATCTTTAGGGATAATGATTACTGTTCCAAGGTGCCCAGCTTTCCCCTGATAAAGAAGTTGGATGATTTGCTTTGTCAGGTGCTCTGCAGGACAAGCAAGGAGCAAGGTCCAAGGACAGGGCTTTCATGGTCACTGTCTTCCCACTTAACCCAGAAACATTAGGATCAAGGAGCTTATTGTGCTTTCAATCTCAAGTTGTCCCCAAAGCCCCCCTGTGTTTGGAAGGACACAGGATTCTGGGGGCTGATAGCTGACTTGCTGTCTGATTGGAAGAGAGAGTCACTAGGGGTGTGGCCTGAAAGGATTCCTCTGCCTCCCCACCTCCTCTCTTCTCTTTCTGCTTCCTGCCCACCATGAGGAGAGCAGCTGTCCTCCGCCAGACCCATCCATCACGCTGTCAGCTATGTGCGGACTGAAACTTCTAAAACAGGCCAAAATAAAGCCTTCCTCTTCTAAATTGCAGATGTGGGATCTTCTGTGCCAGTGATGAAGAAGGTGACAAAGACAATGCATTTATTGAGCATCCTCTACGATCCCCCAGAGCTCCCATCCCCGTTCCCACTGAGCCAAGCTGAGGGTTACATCCCTGCCACAGATGCTGCCTGGCTTCTCCGCCCCAGCCATTCCCTCCACCAAACTACTTGTGGCGGACAGGACTCAGGATGCTGAAGTGGCAGACACAAACCACGCCTCTCTGCTGATTCCTTTGTTGAACGCATACCTGCAAAGAGCTTCTGTGAGCCGGGCACCATGCTGGAGTCCAGGGTAAAAGGCATCCTCACCTGCAGGGCACAAGGGTGGGAGGTGGTGAGGGCAGGAAGGGCAGAGTGAGGGGTCCTCTCCCACCCCAGCTCCTAGCCGCGTGGGCCGCTGCCATCCTCCCCCAGGGGACTTGGATAAAGAGCCCCGGGGCACGGGGCACGCAGCTCAAGTGACAGCCTCATTGTCTCATCACTGCAGAGACCAGAGGCATGAGATCAAGGTGTGAGCTGTGTGGGTTTTTTTTCTAGCCCCTGTTAGGGGAATCAGGCACAATATCATTTTCAAGCCTTTCTTTGAGCAAGAAGGGATTCTCCCATCAGGCAGCTCCTAACCAGAAGTGCATGGGGTCCTGCAGGTGGGTGGATGTGAGGCTTTCTAGGGAGTTTAATAAATGCCTGTAGTAAAGAAAAATGAAATTTCAAGCCTATCAGCCCAAACCCCTTGACCAATCTGTGTAACTGGCTCTCCAGCAAGACTGGCAAATAGGGCAGCCAGAGAATCATCACCGGGCAAATATTTCCTTTGCTTTCTTCTGTGTTTGCCCAAGGTTTGTCCTGGGGATAAAAAACGTAAAGGCAAATGGAAGGAGAACTGCATCAAATTGTTTCAGTCACCAGATAAGCAAAGCTGTAAAACAGCTTTCTGCTTTTTACACCACGGGCCCAGCTTCCTCCGGACTCTGTGATGAGCCCTCTGGTGCCCACTTTGGCCCCACGGAGCAGGAGGGGAACCAGGTACATGTAGACTCGCGCTGCCCTGACAGCAGTCGGGTCTGTCCGCTGCCTAAAGCTGGGGCTTCCCCTGCCCAAGAGGTCCTGGCCTGGCCACTCCGTACTTCATGCTGTAAGGCACTGACCATGTGCAGGCTCCAGACTTCAAGGGCACTACTGAATATCTCATGCCAGACCTGTCCACCAGCCACAACACAGTCCATTAGTAAATGCTGGTTGGTAGATTCAGGCACTAGACCAGAGAACAAGGCCTGCCTGCCCCTGAGCTCAGAGCACAGTAGACAGTGCCATCATCCAGACAGCTACCAGAGGGATACTGAGGCACAGCCAGGTGCTGCAAAGTGCAAAGAGGATGTAGAAAATCCTGTCCCTGGTGCATTCCCACAATCCCAGGTGGGAGGCTGATGTAGAGGGTCACTCTTCGGTGACTGAAAGCAAATGTATGCATCTCAGAGGACATTTTCTTACACCAGGGACAGTGACATTGAATCTGAGTTGAAAGATGATTGGCCTGGGACTTGACAAGGCAGGGAAATTCATCTTTGGGGACATCTCTGAGGAGCAAAACTGAACCATGAAATCTAATGTCATTAAATCCAAGTACTCACTAAGTGATCATTGTCTGCTGCACTTTATGCTAAGTTCTGAGAATTCAGATATGAATAAATTATAATTTTCTTGCCTTAAAGGAGCCAAGTCAAAACTGGGAGGTATACACAAATATACCTTGGGCAACCCAGCAACTTAGCAGTTTAAAAGAGGGTCAAGGAGGTCACTCAGGGTGAAGGTCCAGGGTTCAATCTCCCTGGGCAGTGAGGAGGAGACATTTGTGCTGTTCAGGAAGCAGCCGTGAGAGCTGACGCCCCATGACAGGTGGCATTCTTCCCAGGTGGGTGAAGGAAGGGTGCCTGCCGCAGTATCAGTGCATCCAAAGCCGTGCAGAGGAGGGGATTGCGGGACACCGCTTCCTGTTCCTGCTGTGACAAACCCAGCAGCCCTGAGTGTCTGTGCTTCCACATCCTCAGTCAACCCACTGCAGACTGGAAATATTGTTTAAAAACCGCAGCTGTACTGAGCATGCAGAGAGCTTTCCTGCTGGTCGTCATCCGCTGAGCCACATGGCACAGCAGCGATGTGCATAGAACACACCTTGGATTCTGGAGGTCACCTAAAGTATCCGGGGCAGGTGGGTGGGTTTACGTGGACACAGCGCTGTTTTATACAAGGGCCTTGCTGCAGGCTTGGGCATTTGTGGGTGTTGGGACCCCTGCAGAAACTGAGGAGCAACTGTCTTACAGACTTAGTGGGGGCCAAAAATCTGTGTGAGTCTCTGGGGGAAAAAGTCAAGGGGTTCCGAGGGCTGCAGTGGGGCAGGTCCACTTCCAGGCCCCGTGGTGTCCAGAGAATCCAGCCCTGCTGGTTGTAGGATGAAGTCCTTATTTCCTTGTTGGCTGCTGGGCAGGGTGGCTCTTGGCCTCTCACGACATCAGTCCTCCCTGGCCCATCCCATCGTTTCGGCAGCCATAGCTCATGACCTCTCACACATCACCTGCTTCTTCTTTCACCACCTCTCTCCAGCCCCTGTGCCCCACTGTCAGCTTTAAGAGCCCTGATGATTATGTGGGGCCCACATAGATCACCCCAGTAACCTCCCACTTCAAGGTCCACAGCCTTAGTTCTACATATCACGGTCATCTGGCCACATAAGACAGCAGCGTCAGAGCTGTTGGAGACTGGGCATAGGCATGTTTGGGACCTTCCACAGTACTGACCATGCAGCCGGAAGCTTGAGTCCATGGCTGAGAGGGGATTCGGGGAGAGAAGGAGAGGGGGCATCTGGATGACTTTCCACCAGGCAGGAAGGTGACTGTGCAGCCTCTGAACAAACACCCCAGCGCTTAAAGCCAGGGAGTGGCAGACACACTCCGCAAGCACTCAGGTGGCAGATGGGTAGGTATGGCTTTGGCCTTGGGTGACTTTTTATCCAAAGCCGAGCTGGCGGTTGCAGGACCCACGCTGGCCCCTGGCCTCTGGTTCACAAGAGAGGTCATCTTAGTGGCTAAGTCAGCCCAGCTGTCGCGGCAAAGCACTGCAGCCTGGGGGCTTCACCACACTGGAGGCTGGAGGTCCCGACCTGGGTGCTGGCACACTCTGTTTCCAGCGGAGGCGCTGTCTCTGCTTTGGGAGGGTAGCCCTCTGGCCCTGTACACATGTGGGCTTTACTCTTGTACAGCAGAGGGAGAGAGAGAGACTGATTGATTGATTGATTGATTGATTGACTGATTGACTGATTTCTGGTATCTCTTCCTCCTTTATAAGGATACAAATCCTATTAGATTAAGGCCACTTGAATATTTCATTTATTCTTAATTATCTAGCAATCCTTGGGGCAGAGCCTCCACGTCCAAAGCTGGGGTTTCCATCCTAAGAGGCAGGCGTCTGAATGACATCTGCAGGCAGGGTGGACAAAGCCTGAAGGCGTCTAAACCTCCCGGCCATGGATGTCTGTGCCAGACATCAGTGCACCAAGAAAGACCTCTCGTTCCCTTTGGTGCTGACACCTTCCTTGTGATCTAGCCTTC